AAAAAATATGCTATTAATGGGGAAATTACACAAGCTTAAAATCTGAAAAAGTAATTATTAAAAATAAAATTAATTCAATGTATAAAAGTTATGAAAGGATTTTGGCAAAATGTTTCTAGAGGAAATACTTTCACTCTCCATATTAGCTATACAAGTTCTTAATGAATTAAGAGCTGACTATATGAATGATATTTCCACATTCTGTGGTTACTGGATTCTTATATGGATTTTTCCTCTATCCACTACATATTTGTCTTCAATGTATACTTGAAACAAAAAGTTTGGATGGGAAGAGAAACAGTTCTAAATATGAGTTGTAGCACTTATTCTACTTTTTTCTTTTTTTGCATAAAAAATAACCCCTTATAAGACAGAAACTTATAAGAAATTCTAGTTGGTATCATCACACTTAGACAGGTTTTACTATATTACTCAGAGACTATTGATTATGTAGTAGCTTTTGAAGAATGAGAAGTTATGAGATCACTGAAGACAAAAATTAAGAATAATAATGATGATACCACACACACTACACAAAAGCCTGGGAACATTACAATTGAATAGAAATACTTGCATCACACTTTAGTAGGCCACTATATTGAATACATGCCATATTGTTAGGAAATTCCTGAATACAGACACTGACACACTTATTTAATTTTGGTTTTTGGTTGCTATGCCTTGACTCTGGTCCGGCATAGTACACAGCCACCAGTATCAATTGAGTATAACCCACTAAATACTGTATANTAATAATAAAAATAAATAAAGAAAAATGATTTACTCAGCGGCATATTTAAACTAGAAAATATGGGAATATATATTATTCATATATACGAGCAGAAAAATCAAATTTAAGATAGCTTACAATAATTAAAATGAAGATCGATATGTATAATAAATATTCCAGTATTATCTAGTTTAAATAGGCCGCTGAGTAAATTATTTTTTACTACTATATTCAAGATTTAGTGTTCTGAAAGCCTTTCTGCCAAGGATTAACCCCAACAGACGGTTTAAAAGTGAAAGATAGTTGGGAAAGCCCACTCAATTTGTCAGATAAACTTTACAGCAGGATTTCCAATTTCAGGTTATCGATTAGACATGTAACTAATGATGCGTTCTTTCGTAATTCGATCAATAAGGGTAGACACTCTGACTGTTGACCGTGGCCAGAATGGAATCTAAAACTAGATCCAGATAACACGAACCGAAAACTAGATCTAGATAATGGGACAATAGAATAAACTTTCGCACCTTCGGATTTGTTTGACTTTTCTTTCTCTTTTGCAGCTTCTTACCCCGACTTGGTGAAACTTAAGGGAATCCCTCGTTTGCGTGTTTTAAAGAAAAAAAGGTAAGACGCTTCTGTTATTTGGATAAGTTTAATTTTTACTTTTTTTTACATATTACGAGCATAATGATATTATATGTAACTAAATAAAATTCGAAACTTCAGGGAAAATAAAATTCAATATGTTAGGACACATCGAAAACAAAAATTTAACTGCTTCAGCAACAAAATGGTGGAAACAATGTCTTCAGATGCGCTGTTTATATTATCGTTCGGTGCCCGAAGCAGTCGGATCTTTTCATCAATAGTTTTTCAAAGGCAATTGTTGGTATATTTGTGATGCGAACTAACTCGATACACGCTTCCAGTTTACAACAGGCATCGTCCACCATCCTGCTACACAAATCAATATGTCTACCTGAGGGTACCTCTAAACTGCTTATTAGATTTAGAAGCAACGTCGATACGTCTCGTTTGCTAAAGAAACCAATTAATTTGTACAGAAAATAGTGAGATGGCCATTTCCGATATCGATCATTTTTTAAAATACGACGAGAACAACATACTTGTTATTAATAAATTGATAGATAAAAAAGAAAGTGTAAAATTTTTAAATGTCGTATTTATTTTGTAACTCTGTTACTAAAAGAAAATTACACTTTTATAAGTATCTTTATTTACCGTTTCTAGTATTTTCTGCCCAGATCACTTTGTTTCTTGGCCATTCGCTCGGATCATTATTTTCTGAAAGGACGTCCTGGTCCAATCGATTCTTGCTCTCTTGTTAAGTCTAATGTACATCAAGATTGGACCAAAGAGCGATGTCTTACTTTGTAAGGAATGAAGAGATTTTCTTTGCATCAAGCTATAAGGAAAGAGAAGATCCTTTAAGAATGTTTGAAATTTTACTCGGCTATTATTCATAAATGGTTACTCGCATAGTAAAAAGTAATAACAACAACTTAGATGGAAATCCGGGATAAGCTTGGTTTTTTATTTTTATTTTCGATCAAATTATTGAATATTAAAAAAAAGTCGATACTTTTCTCGTTCAGAAGTTTTATAGGTTAACTCCGCAGAAAATATTTCTAAAGCAATATTCTACAAATGTCATCAACTGCGTGGCTGACGCATCGAATTCCATTCCCGATCCATCGATTGAGAAGAACTGAAAGCTTTGTAGATTTTACGATACAAAAGATTTTACAGAATTACCGACGAGAAAAGTGTGCGATAAGTTACGAAAGACAAAATACATATATAATCTGCAATCTGAACTAACGACTCTGCTTAATGTGATTATCGAATAAAAAATGACACGACAAAGCCAATTAGCGTATGACGTGTTTTTTTCCTGGTTCTGCTCTATTCTCTCGAGTGATTCTTCTGCACTTACATTGCTTAAGTCTGAAAAGCTCCCGATAAGCAAGCTTTCCATCCAGATTACCGCGCTCTGCAGGGAATATCTTCCCAAATGTGTCCATTCGCATTCTTACTGCACACTACTCTGTAAAACGCGACTCTGTAAAAACATCGGCGAGACTCGCTCTTTTTGTATATATATATAAAATTAAAAAACATTTCCTAATTTTAAACAAATTCGGAAGAAAATTGAATTTCCAGACTGAACCACTTCTTTTTAATTCTTCTAAAAATAGCACAAAAAAGGTAGTTATTTAAAATTTATATGATAAACGTAAACACCTCGACTTTTAAAATTGGAGGATTTACGAGTGTGATAAAGCGAATATGTAAGGAAAAATATTTTTGCTATCGTCTCGAGTGAATAATTGCACCGTAGACGTTTCGTTCTTAATGTTTAGTTATATTTATAACGACGTTCTTAACGGCAATTTCGAGATTGTTAAAGGTACAAGCCACATCTGGCGAATGGCACTGGTTGCCATCTTAAACTCCAGCGAATATCGATCATGGTGGCATAATTACACCTTTGATTAATACTACTAGATAAGCTACTATTTACACTTCGTATATGACGTAGAAGTAATTTTATAAATCATTCGAATTATAAAAATGATTCTAAGACACTGTTTCGTTCCTACAAATGGAAGGACGAATTCTAACTGTTTTCATTTCCCCTTTATAATTCTTGTTATTGAAAGTCTGGATGCTGTCGAGTTACGCTTTATAGACGATCAGATTCGGAAGTGTTTACGAATTCTCGATTACTAATGTTTTAAGATGCAAACTCGATCGAATTGTGATACTCGAGACTGGACAAATAATTAACGATCGTAAATTATTCGAGAAGAGATGAAGCATCTCAAATAAACCGTAACTATCTCTACTTAAAGAGTGAGGTTGATTCAGGTTAAAACAACGGAATGGCTAAGTTAAGGTTTATTGAATTTCACTTAGTTCCAGCAGTCGTCTTTCAATCTTTCCCTGTCGTATAATTTTAGAAGGGTCCTCTTGATTTTATCTTTCCTCTTCCCCTCTCTCTCCTGCCCTGCCATGATCAGTCAGAAACATAAAAAGGTTGAATTCTCTGGATGATCTTTCCCTCCAGCTAAAAAAAGCCAAAAAGTGTTTTTTTCCAAACACATCCGTTGGTTGTCCAAACACGATCCTGTTTAAAATTCTGATCCCGCGATAGTTTGAAATAACAATAGATAGTTTTGAAATTACTATTTGCCAAGACTTCGTCTCTGATAGTAGTCGTTTTACATAAATATAGGTTTTTTTTGGTAAGTTGAATATCGATAGTCACATTTTAAATACCTTACATAATATACAATACATCTAAACACATCTCTGGGAAAAATATCGAGATTTTTTTCTAGTATTTAAATATTTATAATTAATTTTTAACTACCTTACACACGTAAGACTTCTTTAATTAAATTAACAAGGTTTGAAACTTGCGGTTATCTTATCGCAGGCCGAAAAAAATATTGTATAAACAGCAAATTTGAGAATTTTCTGACAAACCAATACGTATCTCAACAAGTTTAAATGCTTAATAACTGTGAGTTTATCGCTTGTTTTGAGTTTCATATTACGTAGACGGATTAATTTCCGGGAGGTTTTCATTATTCAGACTGCATCTTTACTATAGAATAATATCACTTATTTCAACAATGTGTAAATTTCTTAAGCGTTAAAATAAATAAACAATATGAACCGCGTTTAAAAGGCTTTACATTTTACAGAAATAATTTTTTAGGTAAATTATGTGGGTCAATAAATTCAGTAGCCTTAAAAAATTTCCAATTCAAATCTTTTAGAGATCGATTCAATACTTTATCGAAGAACTTGTCGGAGCACGAATTCGTTCTCGAAGATATCAGTGCCATCGATTTTATTGGATTTTAGATTAACTTATAACTGTAAAATATGTTGTTTGAAATTATTCCATTTGTTTTCCATAATTTCTTTGCATAATAGTTTGTATTAAGTGAATAATTGTTCTTATGAAATGTGTTTAGAAATTCGGGACAATAAATTTTCGTATAATTGTGAACCATTTTCATATTTAGAAACTGAGGAGGAGTATTTTTTACATTATTTGATTTTCAAGGTAAGAAATTTCAATAGGAATATTAGGTAGAATATTGCCTATTGAAATATATAATCTCATCTTTTTCTCTCCTATAATTATTACTTTTTATTTCAGGTATAGTGGTGGGTCGAATGTAGGTGACATAGAAAATCATTAGCATTCCTTCATAAGAATTTTTATGAATTTAACGAATATGACTCTCTTTGCCTTCGAATTTTTTTGCGAAAAGAAATTGGGTGTGAAATCCAAACAATTTTATCTCACTTTTCAATCATTAACTGGATAAATGCCAAAATTTTACCTAATTTGAGATGTGACGAGAAATTTTGGCATTTTAAACCATTTCAGATATTCTTTCGAGATGTAATATCGACTTTAATTTTGTTCGATTTCCTCATCGCAAGACCCGATAATAATTTATATTTTGATTCGATTGTGGCCAGTCGTACCTTCATTACGTACCCCAACGATAGCGTTACGAGATTATTTGTTACAAAGTTTCCTGAATTATATATTAATAATTGATGCAAGAGTGATAGTTTCTGGCAAATAACTCTTCTAATACGTTACCGACAAACATATCGTAGGGTTAATTAATCGAACTGTGAAGTTATCCGTTAGTCGAGCCAGGAGTTAAAATCTAAAGCGAGTGTATCTATTCACTCTACCCTCCCCAATCGAAGTCTTTTCTCCGAAAATGACGCTTCTTGAATGGACTCTAAAGTTCTGGCGTTTGATTGGTGCAGACGATACAACTACATGATCGTTTGGAAGCTGCCCACTACTAGGCGGAGGGAGAGAAACGGAAATGCTTTAAAGCCTGTCTGCCGGTTACTGTCATGTTAGAAGAGAGTTACCGAGCGGAGAGAAGGTTGGAAATCCGGTTACTTAGATCTAGCTGTATGACGGATGCAAAGCTTTGTAAAGGTAAGGCCTGGCATTGTATAAGAGCGGTACAGTACATGTAAAGAATCAGATGTTTAACCTCTTCTAATAGTTTCGTTGCGCGACATCGACGTCATGGGCGACGTTCCAAAATAAACCTTTCTATTCAGAAACCGTTAAACAGTCGAATAATTACATAAAATGATTGTATATCGATTATACCATTTGTTTATCGGAAGTTGATCATTGATCATCATCTAAAATATCGACGATGTTCTCACCCGTGGCCTCGATAATTTTTGATAGATTTTTTTTTTCTCTACAGACGACTCTCTCCTCCCCTAGAAGAGAATAGCAACGAAACGACCTAGCTTTATAAAGTTAGATAAGAATAGAAGAGTTCAAAAATAAGAAAAGCGCGTCTGTAAAGATGTTGTCGGAAGACATATTTAAATTTCTTAGTAAAAGGAGAATAAGATATATCTTGCGAGAATTAGCACAGGAAGGAGGAGAGAAAAAAAAATTAAACTCGATTGTTTGCTTAAGTGAACAAATTGGAAAATATTCGTTTCTAAAATAAATAGAGAGACGGTCAATAATGAAAGATTCTCTGTTGATTTATAAAGTTTTATGCAACTATTTGAACATTCTCCATCATTCGGAACATTATTGACACAATGCTACGAGATAGGCCGGACGTTAATGCAAAGAGTTTGTTTACTTTTCTACAATTTATTCCATTCTTATCGCGCCGCGTATCTTTCGATATTTAAATGTGGTCTTTCCTCTTTCTCTTTCTGGTGTAATATATATCGCTTGGTGAAAAGTCTTCATTATTACTTCGCGCCGCTTCAGTCGTCTAACAGATCAATAAATTATATAGAGTAAATGCAGAAAAACTATCGGATATCAATTTTTTTTTCTTTTCAGTTTCAAGATTTTCTAGTTTTTTAATCGAAAGTAATTATACAGTATAACGTAAGAAGTCTAAAAGGACTTGGATTTCTACATTAAATATTGTGGTATAATCTTTATTTTGAAACATTTTTTCTTTAAAATGTATAAATTTATGTGCCTAATATTGGATTTTTATAGCATACATCATAGCATCTCTTCTTTCTTAGAAACAAGTCGAGCGAATAACGTCTATTATTTTTGAAATCTATTTTTGTTTTCCTCAACTGTGCATTCTCCATCGCTGTTTTCTTCTTTTGCTTTTAAAATCGTTTGAATGACGAAAAGCCATCCGAGGATTTTCGATAGTTTTGAATTTAGAGAAAGGGGAACGTTTGTCCCCATGAAATTTATTATTTTAAAACGGCGAACGGGGATTACATAAATCTTTTTTCAGCCTCGATTAACCATCTGTGAAACCGGTTTCGGGTTTGGTTCATTATAACAATTTTTACCGCCCGCCTATTTGGCAGCGTGCCCCCTTTCCGACTTATACACGCTTCTCTACCGCTGTAATTTGAACCGTGTCGAGCATGTTAGAATTATTAACGTACGAAAAAATTTCTCGCTACAAGGGAGTAAAACTCGCTTAGGAATAAACTATCGAAGTTAGTTATCCGTTCGACGTAATTAGTAGAAGGACGTCACCAGCACGCTTCATTCTCTCCGCCGTTCGTGTTTTGCACAAAAAAAGAAAAAAATTAATTTTAAATCCGGGAACGGAATTTGTCACGTTCACGGTCGTCATAGAAACGGTAGAAAGAACGTCCTCTTGTTTTTGTTTCGACCCCAAAATAATTCTTTAGCGAAGGAACGGTCGACCGGATCGACATCCGAGACGGAATTAGAACTAATCGCTAGCGGGTATTGGGAAATATACTATGGCAACAATTATTATCTCGGTTGCCGGATTGTCACTGGGACATGTTAATCCGTGCCACACTGTAGTGTTTCCAGTGACGTAACATTTCGATTTCCTAAAGTGACAAATTACGTCCGTCGAGCGATTGTGCCCATTAAACAGTATAGGTTACGCGATTGGAAAACATTTTTGTTTTTACTCCGTTCGAAGGAGAATTCGAATGACGAAAAATACCCGAGGATCATCGATAGATTCGAAATAGCGTCGTAAAATACAAGCGTTATAATCGAACGGGATATTAACACGAAGCGAACGTGAATTGCTATTACGTCCCGAGCTGTAAAATAAATAAATAAGTCGTACACAAGCGTACAGAATAAAATTCCTAAGATCGGCATAAAATCGTCCTTCACGCTTGGCGTAACGTTTAAAACAATAGTCTAGTGGCGTGTGGATAAACATACAGACACACGCTCGCTCGCTCGCTCCGAGGAGGTCGCAGGATTTTCGAAACAGACGGCCCGTTTAATTTATTTCTCTAGTGGAAATAATTTAATCTGCGTTTTGTTGGGTTAGCCGGAACTTTATAACTCTCTTTTTATAATCGTTTTTCTATCAAAAAGAATCACGATAAAGGAAGGAAAAGAGTGAGACGGTTTCGGTTTTTATCAGAAATTATGAATACTCTCGGGACGAAAACGAATATTTACTTAGTAAAGCGTAGTAAAAAAAAAGATAAAGAATCCAATTCTAGAAATGAAATATTTACGTCATTTGTTTAAAAATAAGAAAATTGAGAAGTGTACTTTACTCCGGGTAGAAGGTAATGTCGGCGAATATAGTCTTGCGATGGAAAATCGATTTGCTGGCGTGCATTTCGAGAAGGAATAACTTATAATATTTATCATTTCATTTGCAATCCGGGTCTGGCTTTCTCTTAAGAGATGAGGAGGAGGAGGAGGAGGAAGAAGAAGAGGAAAAAAAATTAAACCGGTTAGAAATAAACATTTGGAATTTAATGAATATTTTAAAATTATTATGCCGCTTTGCGCGAATAATTAGCGCAGTTTTAATTAGCATAATCAATCTGCATATTTTCATAAACAAATTTTTCTTTTTATCGTCCGAAAGTTTTTCCTTCTCGTTTAATCACCGCGGGGTATCCTCGGAATCAAACAACAGGATGCAGATGGGATACAGTCAGTGCTATTTTTATTTTTATTTTTTTTTGTTCAGTTTTTTGCCTTTTGTGGATTTTCACTGTCATTCGAAAGAGATTGTAGATTGCTGCCTTTTTTTTTCTTAAGTTAGTTTTTGTTTCGATCGGTTTTGAAAATCTTATCGTTCAATTTGTTTTAGAAAGTAAAACCTAACATTTTTCTTTTCGTTTCGGATTACTCTCGGAGTAAATATTTATATTATCTCTATGTATTTAAGTCGTTAATAGTTAAACGATTTGCTTTCGAAGTTATTTTTATTTGGACAAATTGTGGCTATTAAACTCGGTCGGCTAATTAGTTTTTAATATTTTTCGATAAACTTTCGTAGCAGATTTTTTACGAATATCTATCGAAAATTCCTAGTTATAAAAATGAGGTAAAGTAAAAGACAAAATTCTATATATAAAACCTTTTACTTTAAGAAAAATAATGAATTTTATATAATTTGTGTGTTTCGTTTTAATAGGAAAACTTCAAAACAAGTACGCGACGTGTCTTTTTCTGTTTATTAAATTTTATGTTTTTACAATATAAAAGTTATCGTTTCTAAAAGATATTTTTATCATTTCATTTTATCTTGTAAATATTTTTATTCAATAATAATGTGCAAATCGTTTTCGAAGCTCGTAACTTTTTGTTAGAACTACTCTAGCTGGCATTTCAATAAGTGTATAATTTCGAGAAACGGAATACGGCGTTAAAGTTATTTATCACAATAATGAAAAATATTTAAAAGACTATTTTTCTCTACTTTGAGCGGCTCGGTAAAAATAACAAGAGATTCTCTTCTCTTCTCCATTTGCATGCTATTTATTTAGCTTTTATCTTTCACTAACCGTTTTCAGAATTATTGAAGTCATAAATTACGATGATAAAGAGAGAATCGTTTCATAATTTAAAAATGTACGTACGACGACCATAGTTTTATTTTACTTTACTGCTTTTTTTCGTCTTTTTCTTCTTACGGAAGAAACGTTCTTTTGTGCGATGTGTTGAAGGGTAATGATATGAAAGATGATTTCTTTATCGAGTTTCTGTAATGTATATGATGTTTTTAGTTTAGTAAAAATATAATATACGCTATAGGATGTGTTTACTATGTTTAGGTCTACGTTTCACAACAGTTAAAACGTACGTAAATTAATGCCTTAAAGCTTTTGTTTGGCGTCATTTTGGCATTTGAGATTTTAGAAACTGGCGAATCGAATACATTTTTCAATTGTTTTGATGGTTGTCTCCTTTATTAAAAGACATGAACGGAATTTTTGTCGTCATTTGACGTCAACGTGGAATCGACTCTGTATTGCATAAGAGAAACGAAGGCAGCACATTTTTACTCGGTTTGTCATCTCGACAAAAAGAAAGTATTGTCTGTTGCCAACAGATGTCAGCTCTTTCTTGTACCCGTCTCTTGCATTTTCTTTCTCCTCCAACAAACTGAATTGGCAAGTTCTGTTTAACATCGCTCCACATTTTTCCGTCGTAGGCATAATTCGTGCCGCGAATTGTTTATTCTGCATTTCTGGTATCGAGTTATTTCGATGCCTCCAGCCGAAAATGGTACGATGTTCCGTCGTAAATATGACTAATCGAAGATGTGTAGTAGATAATTATTCCATAAAGATGACTTCCATCTCCGTAGATAGATGACGTCACTTCGTGTTACGATTTGATGGACGATGACAGATGGCTTCGGTTTGCCATCTTCACCGACAGATGGTGGTAGGAAACTTCCGTTGATGTCTTGTGCTTTTGTGACAGGACGAGACGATAAGATGCTTCGGTTCGTTGCCCCTTTACTCTTTGCTGACATAACCGAATACCCAGTATTCCTACGTATTAATTTCTACTGTGAATTAAAGTTTAATCATCTCTTTCTCTGCTTCCGCTCCGCTTTTACCCGAGTGTAAGTTGCGCAGGCCACACAGAGTAAATTTATCTACAAAAGAAATTGGCATTATCTTCTATTCTCTTTAGATTGAATTGTAGCGATGATTGAAATCTAA